ATAAGTTAATTTCCAAATTAACTTATATATAGAGAAAAAAACATATATTATATTAGCTACACTTAGTTTTCATTATCCCCACTTCGAATGTCAATGGAAAATGACACTAAATAAAGCAAAAGCTTCAACGAATGATTTATGTACAATTTTATTTTGCTATTAAAATAAAATTAGATGAGAAACTATAGGTGAAAAAAAAATGAAACCAAACATTGAAATTCAAGAAATAATTTATTTTGGCCCTTAGATCTCCTTGTACATTTTTACAAATAAAAATAGCACATTGTTTTAAAGCAATCCCAGCAAGTGTTAAAAGGCTTGAACTTTAGGGTGGCATCTAATCAACAATCCCACATCAGAAAATTAGTAGTAAAGGTTAGAAAGCAACTACAATAAGGCTAGCCAATAGTTAAACAGTAACTTCCTCGGCCTCTTAATTTTTTAGTCATCGGGCCTGTAAGTTGCCATTCTTCTTAATTAAAAATGCTAACTGGTAAAACCAGGGTCAACTGGTTTTGCAGTTGGACCTAACATTTGACCGGTTTTCTGTTTTTTCAGTTTAAGTGGTTTTAAGCCATAACCTAAACGGTTTGCAGATGGGTTCCCGGTTTTTCAGGATAAACCATCTGATCTGGTCTGGTTCAGTTTCAACAACATAGGAAAATGGAGTTCTTTCGTTCATTTTTGGTGCATACGTGATGGAAAATGGGAAATGTAGCTTACAACCAAGAGCTGATCACCCTCGGAATAGGCTTGTTTTGTGCGCTTTCTCCGCTTCGTACTTCCTTCCTTTTTAGCCACGAAGCTTTCATAGGCGTCTTCAAATAATTCATCCAGTTGCTCACCATACCTGAAAGCAGAATACTGTTAGCTTATAAAAGCATCCAAAAAATGGACCATACTTTACAAGCATATCCAAGTTAAGAGGAAACCACCGCTGGTGTTCTTTATCGGTGTCTGAATCATTAGATGTGTCCCCTTGGGCTTCCTCATGGCCCCCTTTGCTATCACTACTTCCAATCCCATCATTTTCATCATCATATTCATCATTATCGACAGCCACAAGTTCTTTCTTCCCCTGAATAAAAGCATGCCAGATATATAATAAAAATTACAAATTTAGATCAGCGTAAGACTGACCAAAAAAATTACACATGTGGATGCATAACACAATTTATGAAATAAAATTCCCACACATAAAGAAAACCGTATCCAACATCGAATTCCATCACTATATAGAGAAAACGCAGGATTATCGGAAAGCTGGTGCTCACAGCAAAACTCCCATCATCACTAATTCAGCATAATTTATTACAACTTCAGAACATAGACAAGAAAAAAATCCATTGTCCATTTGATTTCACCCATGCAGGATAACAATTATAAAAAGTCCCGAGAGCAAGAAGCAAACCACGAGATTTCATCCTATGCCTGAATGGAAAGACATGCCAACTAATATAGGCTATAAATGACTGATCTTTCAAACTGGTAATTTAATAAATAAATGAAGTACAAAGATACCTTGATAGAAGTTAGAGAGAACAATTCATGATCTGTGTAACCCTACTCAGTTGCATCTATTTGCTTGCCTAATGTTTTCCGAGTTTTGTCCTGCAGTAAAGATGAAAGGATTTATCAGACAAAGCAGAATATATTGCATTTATGCTTGTAAAAAATGAGGATTAGTAATGTCTTGAAAGAGCATATATACATCAAAAGCAAAATAGAGATTACATTCAAGTTCAACAACACACCCGGAGGAAAATATTGGATGATGATATGCAGGACAACCTAAGAACGAGAATGAAGACGTATTTCATATAGAATAGGTAAAAATGTTCAAAGGAGGTGAGCATTGCTGTAGAAAAACTCGTCAAAGCCTGATGGGTAGACATACACGCTAGGAGGCACCTGATAAAATTCGTAATATATTACATCGAGAATGTGAAAAAAAATAAAAAATAATAATAATTGTAATAGACTTCAAGTCTCCAAAAATCCCTATGAAACCTATCCCATAGTGATGGTTGAAGTCCCAGCATTGTACATATTTCCAAGTCTATATTACTTGTTGCAAAATTGTTACTAGATCTGCTTAACAGACATTACATCTAAATTTTAATATCACTTGTTCACACCGCAATCAGAGCCGGTCCTGTGTTTGAGGGGCCCCGAGGCGAATGATGAAAATTAGGCCCCCCATCGACAAAATTCAAAGGTGTATTATGTGACTTATTGCTAACTTAAAAAACTAACATTAAAACAACAACGAAATATATCATAGAAACGATTATATTATAAACCATCAAACCAAAAATTTCAAACAATTAGTTAAATACTATTCGTCTTGCTGTTTTAGAGGCAAAAACATCAATCAAATCTGAATAACTTAGCTGCTTAACCATTTCTTTTTCTATTGATAACATAGCTAACCCGTTTAATCTTTCTTGTGACATAGTTGATCGGAGATAAGTCTTGATCAACTTCAATTTCGAGAAACTTCTTTCCGCAGATGCAACTGTAACCGGTACGGTTAACAAAATTTTGTAAGCAATATAAGCATTTGGAAAACAAACATCCAATGTCTTCAAATAGTGTAGCACTTCAATTGCTCTTGTTGCTTCATTTGGTAAATAAATCTTCAAGACTTGTAATTCCGAACATAAATCATCTCCACTGATATCCGAAAGCCCATCATGTTCAAGATATTTCTCAAGATTCATACAAGAGTTCAACAAACTTGATAAAGTTGCACTCCTTAACCTCTTCAAATTAAACAAAAATCCAAATATATCATCATATAGTTTGAATTGTTCAAATCGAGTCCTCAGAGAAGATAGAGCTTGATCAATTATAAAAACAAAGTACTCAACTCTAAATGATTCTTCTGCTGATTGCTTTATCTCATTACTACAGTTTTCATCAAATTTATACTTTCCACCTTGAGGGCAAGGTGGATTTGGAAACCGGGGGTATTGATAGGCTCCAATCAACCTCGTGCATTCTAGAAGGACCTAGAAGAAGAAGAACTTGAAAGTGGTGGAAAACTAGTCTGTTGGAGAGTAAAAATGGGAGGGAAAATGAGTTACAAGTAGCTTATAAATAAGGAAGAGTTGGAGGAGAAGAGGGAGGAGAAAATTGGGTAGTCACTTAGGAGAGAATTGGCTCTCTCGAAAAGCCAAATACCGTTGTTCTTCTTTTATTTCCTTGTTTTCCAATTTCTGAATCTGCTCCACTTCCAGCAGGGTTCTATCAGAGACCAAGACACATGGAGGAATATTTTGTCATAAACAGACACCATACAGAAAATGAATCATTTCAGTCTGTGCTATTCCTTGAAATAAAGGTTGTGGTTTTGATGCTTACTGTCTTGTATCTTCTGTTGCTATATGGTTTGTATGTTCCTGACTGGGAGTATCAGATTCCAATTGAAGCATCTTCTTCTGCAAAAGTATACTCGGTGAAATGTGGTGTACATGGAGACACTGGACCAGCATGTAATGCTGTTGGTATGATCGATCGCAAAATTTTGGGTATTCATCACTTATATAGAAGGCCAATCTATGCACGCACAAAACAATGTAGTATCAACTCCCCAGATTATGGTCCACTTCCTCCTGATGCTCCTTCATGGTGCCAAGCCCCTTTTGACCCTGAAGGGATTTTAAGTACAGTGATGGCTACAGTCTCTTGCTTGCTCGGTTTGCAATATGGGCACATTATTGTCCATTTTAAGGATCATAAAACTAGACTGTTGCAGTGGTTTGTCCACTCATGTGGTCTTGTGGCTTTGGCTGGACACAGAATTTGGAAGCAAGGAGAATTCATAATTTAGATGAGTTATATTCCTGTGGAACTTCCGTTGAAGATCATTATTTAGATTTCACCCCTTCCGCTTATTCCAAATATGTTCTGAAATCTGACGATGAGAATGTTATCATTGATAGTTTGGGGGATTATATTAACCTTGTAGTTGTTGCTCCCGTGGTGACTAGCATTTTGTGGCAAATGGGAGCATGTAGATATGGCTTTAATCAGAATTTTGACGCCTCAACTCTTCAGATATTTCCATCACAGGAGTTGGACTATCTGCTCTTTGGCTGCAGAGAGCCATGGAAAGTCAAGACCCTTATTGATCATACGAAATTGGATCATGAATACAGAAGTCCGGGTATCATCAATATATTTGAGATTGTGAGGGAGTTCACCCTTGAGCAGCAACAAACCTTCAATCAGTTTGTTAATGGTGCTCCATGGCTTCCACCTGGTGGTATGGCAGTGCTGAACGAGTTAGGGTGCTGGGCAGCAGCAATCAAGTATACTTTCCACCTTGAGGGCAAGGTGGATTTGGAAACCGGGGGTATTGATAGGCTCCAATCAACCTCGTGCATTCTAGAAAGACCTAGAAGAAGAAGAACTTGAAAGTGGTGGAAAACTAGTCTCTTGGAGAGTAAAAATGGGAGGGAAAATGAGTTACAAGTAGCTTATAAATACGGAAGAGCTGGAGGAGAAGAGGGAGGAGAAAATTGGGTAGTCACTTAGGAGAGAATTGGCTCTCTCGAAAAGCCAAATACCGTTGTTCTTCTTTTATTTCCTTGTTTTCCAATTTCTGAATCTGCTCCAATTCCAGCAGGTTCATATCCATTTTATTTACAGTTCAAGAGTAAGATAATTCAATTACGTTTAAGTCTATTTCCGGTTCCCTCAATTTGTCTCAAGAGTATTGTGTGAAGTGAGATTATTGTAGGGTTCTATCAGTCATCTGATGTATAAACACCCTTCCCTCCTCCCAAAATGGGTGAGAGATGAGCTAAATATGAAAGATGATCTATTTGATTTGTTGGCAATGTATGCCTGTTAAATGTTCCATTCTGTGCTCATGTATGTATATTGTGAAATAAAAACCTCCTTTAGATTGACATGTTTCGTTGGTGTCTGAAGTTCCTTCTTCGACCGTTTGATGTTCTAACTTGTTCATTTTATGATTGTTTTCCGCAATGACAATATATTTCAGTATAACCTAGCTTTACCTATACTATGGCCTCTTAACTAGTAGAGAATATAGCATGTAGAGAGCCTGCAGTGCTATGACTATGAGGCGGATGATGACTGTTCCCCAGCATTTCATATGTAATCAATAGAAAAGCATTCTAGTATTTGAGTATTATCAAATTATCCTATCATCTCAATTGAATGTTAATTAACTATAGCTTTGAAAGCCTAGACAATAGCTCAACTAATCCGTGTTTTGCTTAATTTTGTGTTCAATATGTACCTAAAAAATAAAACAATAAAGCAGAAAAGGAATGATAAACATGGGCAATGACCTTGGATCGTCTTTTTGCTAGAAGTTTCTTTGCCCTTTTCTTCTTCTGTTCAATGGCATTAGTCAGCTCCTCCATTTCATTGATAATTCTCTCATCTTCATCGTGCTTGCTCTCACGTTCCACAGCCGTTGTAGAAGTAGTAGCCTTCTGTGAGGGCGATAATGCCTTCCTTATATGTATACGCCATCTACACCACAATACAAGCATCAAAGGGCACAAAATCATGTAGGAGAAACACTGAATCTCCACATATGGGAAATATCTGCCTATGGTCCTTTGTATGTTTCCTACACAATCTTACTTCCAAAGATGCTTGAAGTCTTGTTTCCCCAGAACACGAAGATCGTCACACAGATCTTTAACCTGTCCAGCATTAAAGAAAATGGCAGTTTAATGGTCAGAGAACAAGATAATGAACCAGTCAGTTTATCTAAGTTTACGAGAGTTCGCTCAAATATGAAGAATAGAAAAGAAGAAAAGAGTAAATCACACCTCGTCGGTTGTAAAAGTATGATCCTTGATGGGTAAACATGCAGGATCCTCAAATGTTATAGAAGTAACTGAACCAAGGATCTCAAGAGGAGAGTTAGACCAAACAAAGTCAGCTGCAGAGCAGACCTTCCGCAAAGTTGTGTATCCATCTTCATACCTTCAAAGGAAACCTAACATAAACATCCATGTACATGAAGATCAGTAAAAATGTAAAAGAAGAGAAACAAGATTTGCATAAGGTTCTCATTTACTCTGGAAAGCCCTACGATAGAGTGCCGTGGCACTTATCATCGTGGGTGCTATATACCAAAAGAATATATACAAAAAGAATTTCCTTCAATTTATCCATATTATCAAGGAAGTGTGCAGTCATGATATGTAGCAGAGGTGACAGATTTGCATCAATGATCTGTACTGGGCCTTATCGATTTGATTTAGTGGTGGATGAACTTAAGAAACATATCCAATAAGGGATTTCTTGGTCCTTGGAATTTGCTCACATCGATAGACTAGGAAGGAGATGAAATTCGAAAAGACAACACCAGTAGAATTGTCTGCGCACTTCACTAACTTGAGTGTCATGATCATCTTTTGCCAGTCTCCATTATGTGAAAAATATCATGCATACTCAAGAATAAACATAAAACTGGCTCCCACCCATTCTTTTATATACCAAACAAACATTGTTTTTGCACAAATGTTTCTAGATGATGAAAGTCACACATTCCATCAATTAGTGAGAAGAAAATATACCCATCACGATGTCGCTTTTGCTTTGTTCCACTAAGTACATCTACCACCTGAACATGTCAAATACAGAAAATTATTTCAATTAAAACAATTAGAAAGATAATGTGTAGATATCATGGAAGCGATTGGATTACCTTTGGAGATTCTTTACCTCCTTGGAAAAGGTGCTTTACATCAAGAAGTTGCAGATCAATTTTAGCAGGAGCCTTATACTTGAAACCCACAATATAAATTTCTGTTGGGGAGAAAACGCGTGGGTCGAGTTTGGTTGACAAATAATGGAATTGAGAAAACACAGCTAAAAATGGACACAGGTATTTACGTGGTTCACCCAATTTAGGCTACTTCCACGGGCAAGTATGGGAGGATTCACTATAGTAGGAGAATTACAACAATCTCTCTAAATACAAGGAGATAACAACAAATAATCTTTCTTGTAATAGGAGAAAATAAGTAGGAAAAAAAAAAGAACTTAGGAGAAAAACAATAAATTTTCTCTCTTCTCTTCTCTTCACATTACAAATTTTCTCTCTTAATTTTTTCTCTCCATATGACACACCCTTTTCTCTCGAACTCTTGTCCATATTTATAGAGAATTTTAACCTCCATAATTGCTTGGAAGAGTCAAATTTCTACCACTTTCATTTGCTAGAATTCTCTACACATTTGCCTTGTCAAGTAAATGGAGAAAGAAAACTTGAATTTCTCATCCTCACTTGTATGCATGCATGGAGTCTTTCTTACCAATTAAGATATCAACAACCTTATCAATTTAGTCAAAAAATGTGGCTATCATTAGTTGGAAACTTCAATTTTGCCACCACCACCACTTGCATGCATGTATCTTTCTTGCTTGGCAATTAAGAAAGTGGCTTATCCTTTTATGGTCAATAAAAGTGTCTTTACTATTCAACATTTCTCCCATTTAAAGTCACTTTTGTTGACCACTCCAATCCTTCCCACACTTGCCATTTCCATGCTACTTACGTTTCTGCTAGGCCAATGGAAGATCGACACCATATAAACTTGTCAGTTCCAATTGGCTTTGTCAACATATCAGCTAGGTTGTCCGCTGTATGGATTTTCTGTATATCCACACTTCCTTCCTCCACCTTTTCTTGAATAAAGTGATATTGAACTCGAATATGCTTTGTCCTCTGATGAAATGCTGGATTCTTTGCCAAATGCAAAGCGCTCTGACTATCACAAAATAGAGCAATCTTCTCTTGTTTGTGTTCGAGCTCGTCCATTAACATTTGCAACCAGATTGCCTCTTTGCTAGCTTGTGTAGCTGCCACATATTCTGCCTCCGTTGTGGAAGTAGCCACGATAGACTGCAGTTTTGAAACCCAGCTTACAGCTCCTCCAGCAAGAGTAAACACATATCCTGTGGTGGACTTGCTTTTATCAAGATCACCTGCATAATCTGAATCAACATAGCATCTGACAATAAAATCTGATCCTCCATAACATAATGTAGCATTTGAGGTATCCTTGACATATCTCAGGATCCTCTTTACAGTATTCCAATGCTCTTTACTAGGATTTGCCATGTATCGACTGATCGCTTCCACTGCTTGTACAATGTCTGGTCTTGTACAGATCATAGCAAACATCAAACTACCCACTCCTGATGCATACAGCACTCGAGACATCTCCATCCTCTCTGCTTCGCTGCTAGGGCTCATACTTGAGGATAACTTGAAATTAATAGGAAGAGGGGTAGAAATTGGCTTACAATCTTGCATATTGAAGCGACGCAAGATTTTCTTCAAGTAGTTTTTCTAACTAAGCCAAATCTTTCTATTATTTCTATCTCGGTAAATTTGCATCCCTAGAATCTTATTTGCCGTTCCCAAGTCCTTCATATCAAACTCCCTAGCCAATTGAGCCTTCAGGTTTTCAATACGATCTTTGTTGGGGCCTGCTACCAACATGTCGTCAACATACAATAGCAAGATAATGAAATCATTATCACCAAATCTCATGTAGTATGCACACGGATCTGAACAGAGTCTGTTGTATTCAAGGCTCATGATGAAGGAATCAAATCTCTTATACCAACATCTCGGCGCCTGTTTGAGACTGTACAGAGATTTGTTCAACCTGCAAACCAAGTTCTCTTTTTCTTTTTCTTCAAAACCTTCTGGTTGGAGCATATAATTTTCTTCTTCAAGTTCTCCATGAAGAAATGCAGTTTTCACATCTAACTGCTCCAGGTGTAAGTCAAATATAACACACATCGCCAGGATTACTCGAATTGTTGTGAGTCGAACCACAGGAGAAAATATTTCGTTGAAGTCAATGCCTTCTTTCTGAGCATATCCCTTCACCACCAGTCTCGCACGATACCGCTCCACTTGATCATTGCCATCTCGTTTGATCTTATATACCCATTTATTCCTAATGGCCTTCCTTCCTTGTGGTAGTGGAATAAGATTCCATGTCTTGTTCTTATGAAGAGCTTCAATTTCTTCTTGCATTGCAGCCATCCACTGAGAAACTTCTTGGCTATTTATAGCCTCGTGGAAAGTTGATGGCTCTCTATCTTCTGTCAGTAAGCAGTATGCAACATTGCCCTCCATAATGTAATCTGAGTGCCAAGCCGGTTCTTTTCTCTCCCGTGTTGATCGTCGAACATCTGGAGCACTAGATTCAGCTTGTTCTTTGTGCTCTAGTGTTGTTTCAGAAGTATCTACAACTTCTCGTTCGTCTCCAACTTCGACTGTAGTAGTCTCTGGTTTTTCTTTTGAAGTGCTATAATTTTCTTTTTCCTGCATTTTGCCTTCCGCAAATATGACATCTCTGCTGATTATCACCTTGTGGGCAGTGGGATCCCACAGGCGGTACCCCTTCACTCTATCAGCATACCCTAAGAAATACATTTTCTGGATTTTGGATCTAAATTTGATGTTTCTTGGGTGTTGTACATAACATACACAGGACTTCCAAACACATGTAAGTGAGAATAATCAGTTGGTTTACCAGTCCACATTTCCATAGGTGTCTTCAGATCAATTGCGGTTGATGGCGACCGATTGGTCACATAACAGGCAGTTTTGACTGCTTCTGCCCAAAATGACTTGGCTAGCCCCGCAGTTCTCAACATTGCCCTTGTTCTTTCTAACAATGTTCTGTTCATCCGCTCTGCCACTCCATTTTGCTGTGGAGTGTATGCCACAGTGAACTGCCTCTTGATACCTTTTTGTTGACAGAAGTTATCAAATTCATCACCGGTATATTCTCCTCCATTATCAGTCCTCAGACACTTGATCTTCTTATCAGATTCAAGCTCCACACGCGCTTTGAATATTTTGAAGACTGCAAACACTCTGCCTTCCTTTTGATTGGATACACCCAACATCTCCTGGAGTAATCATCAATAAAGATACAAAGTATCTTGCACCTCCTAGGGAT